GTCAAGAAAACGCGTTTGTTTGAAATAGCAGTGGGGGGTGGAACTTCATGCAGATACGGGGTGGTTTTGATAAGTGGTTCCAGATGTTTTTGCCCATGCTTAAGAGATGGCAAGTTTTTTGGAAGATGTTCGCAGCCAAAACGCATTCTTCCGTACGTCGCATTTCTGTGTAATTTCGCATGTGGTGTGGCATTATGTCCGGGATTATGCACGTCTTTTTATTTTTACCGTAGCTGTTTTGATATTGGAGTAAATGCTTATTTTCGAAACATCCCTACTTTTACAATCCTGTGGAATAGGCCGTAGGTTTAGGCAGTTGTCTGGTAGCAGAGGTTCTCTAAGCAGATATCCCGGGTATCTGACCGGCGGAAGTAACACTCGCGGTGCTTACCGCAACTGTTGCTGGAATTTGGCCTGTTCCAGTCGCGCTTAATAAGTAACAGGCACGGTAAGACGGTGTCTTCGTTAATAGTGACAGGACCATGATAGTCCGATCTTTATGAGAATGCAATGATTGTGTGTGTGTAATCAAAATGAACGTCTTCAAACATGAAGCACAGTATCTTTACACGCCCTGGGAGCAGTAATGGATTAAGGTCTTTTTATGTTTTATGCTTGTGACGCGCCCTCATTGTATTAACCGTTGCCTAATGTCTGCATAGTAGGTCTGGCGTTGACCCTTGGGATTGTTTTTGTTGCAATATATAAATCTTCACGGAGGATTGTCGCCTATGGCTTCTTGTTTTGTTGTTGTACATGTTGTTATTATCTGAAGGCTAAATGAAATAAAGGTTTTGAAATGAGATTTTAGCAAGCATTTCTTGTGTGATGATTTTTCACAGACATACTATAACTAAAAGTATAGCTATAACATTATAGGTATAAAACACTAGACTGCACTCCCAAGACTGTCTAGTGTTTAAACCATGGCTCAAAATACCACCTGTAATATTCTGTACTGATACAACCAATTTACAACACATGTAGGCTTTTTTTCTAACACCATTGGGGCAAAAGAACTCTGACTAAACACAAATTTCACAACCACAGTTAGACCACAGCATTGACAGAGCCAGTCACCTGTGAACTTTGACCCTGCATGACCTTAAGGGGAGTGTTCTGGCTGACAGGTGCATTCCAACAGGTGTCACAGATCCTACACAGGTATTCAGTAAGGGGGCCTATGATTGGTGCAGAGTATTTGTTTACAGATCATTGTTTTACAAAACAAAAGACTGTGGATTGAATCTTTGATACATTTGGTGAATATGCCAAATTGTCAAGTTAACTTTTCAAGCATAAAGAGGGGTATCCTGAAAATACTGCAGGCAGAATAACCAACAAGAGTCACTCTATAAACAACTATAGGAGTATAAACACTAGACTGCACTCCTAAGACTGTCTAAGTGTTTAAACTATTTACCTCCTCCACAAATCATTCATTAGAGTTTAACAGCGAGTATGCTGTTACAACTCTGAGCTCAAACAACTATTTATGAATAAAGTGACCAATGAGAAAGGCTGTAACAAGTACAAATATTGACAGAGTTACACTGAAGGAGCTTTGTAGGGGAGTGGCTGGCTATTCTTTTTTAATTAGGCATTTCTCAGGGTCTGAAAATGGCGTCTCCAGATCGTCCTTCTACTGCGTAACAATGAGAAAGGCTGTAACAAGTGTCACTGTTCAAATACACTTCCTGAAGCCAGAGACGCCCCCATGATTCGAGGTTAAGTGAAGGAAATAGTTCTTTGTCTTGAGGAAAGGTAAGTTACGAAGTTATTTTACCAGCTGATGTTAGGGTGTCTGAAAACTGAAACACTGAGTCAGACTTTCAGCACTTTGTGCTGATATCTTCAGCACAAAATTGTCAAGCATTACTTTGGTTTTGTAACTTAAAGTCAGCATTATAATACTAGTTTTACTTTCTATTACTATGTGTCCTTGTATGTTTGATCACACTTAACATTAATGTCTGTACAGATTTTTGGTAATAACATTCTTCCTGCCACCAATGTAAGGTCAACTGTGTTTTTTTTCACAGCAATTTGATATAACAAAACTGAGTGGTGAGAGACCCAATTGGGAAATGTGTTTCCAACATGTCAGCAGAAGGTGAGTTTATTTCTGTACTGAGACCATTGTTCTCTCATGACATGACTTTATTGACTAGAATGTTACTGTTCTAACCCCATTTTCAACTTAAAAGCTTTAAACTCACCTTCTCTTCCTGCCCAACTGTGCTTGGTGGCAACGAGTTCCACTCTACGATAAGGGAAATACGAGTTTTTGAACACCTCAATTCTTGGTTGATAACTTGACATTTGAAGGCATGAGTGTTAGTAATGAATGATGCAATACCAGGATGAAGATTAAAACGGTCTGTAGGAAATGACATAAAATGTTTTGTTTTGTCCTGTTTTACACTTCAGACTTCAGTGCAGTCTTGCTGCTCAATGGCCAGTACGGCAAAAACACTACGAACCGACAGGTGGCACAGATCGTAACAGGAGCAGGGAGGAAAGTTTACAGTACCGTTTTGGAGGATACAGAGGAGGACAGAAAGTGTGCTGAGGCTGATGCAGTGGAGCTCATCCTCCCAACCCACAGTCAGGGAGACACAAGGAAACCCAGTCTGGATTGGCTGACCTTTGACCACCCTGCCCGCTATCCCAGTCTCCCCAAGGATGTTGGGTACATTGTGGGTCAGGCTGAGGTCACCAGCAAAGCAGCAGCAGCCATTCAGGAGCAGCGTTTCCCCCAAGCCAACCTCGGTCTTGTCATCGAGACGATACCAGAGGACACAGAGAAGTACAAGGAAGAGGAGAAGGCCATGTGCATTGGAGAGATGGAAGACTCCATCAGACAAGATGCTGAGAAGGCAGACACTGTGTTCTCTGTAGGACATAACATATTCGACCACTTCACCAATTCCTTTTGTGCAATCCCTGAAAACAAGAAGCCAACTCACCTTCTCTTCCTGCCCAAACCATCGGACTTGTTCCAGAACAATACAGTAAAGTACAGGGAAACCAACGAGAGGGTCGTCCTGTCCATCGGTGGGGTCAACAAGGTAGAGAGGGTGAAAGGTTATGACCTTGCAGCCAAGTCCTTGGTAATGGTGGCAGAAACAAGTCTGGAGAAGATCCTTTGGCGGATTTGTGATATAAGTGAGGAGGAGTTTCAGGCCACAATGTCCATTCTCCAAGCCAGCATCAACTCAGGAAAACTGATCCCCACACTTTATCCACGCTGCACCCAGGAAGACATCTGCCGACACATGCAGCAGGCCCACCTGGTTCTCATGCCCTCCCGTGCAGAACCCTTCGGACTGGTCGGTCTGGAGGCCATGGCAGCCGGTGTGCCGGTCCTCATATCTGACCAATCAGGACTGGCCACTTTGGTCAAAAAGGTCATACCAGAATTCCATCACTCTGTACTGGAAATAGAGGGTGACGATTCTGTAGATGTTGGACGTTGGGCAAGTCAGATTAAGACGGTCCTAAGGATGTCTGAAGCAGAGTTCAGGAGGGCGACAGACCTTAAAGTGAAGCTACTGAAGTCCAGGTATTGGGAGGAGTCTCATCAGCAGTTACTACAGGCTTTTGGAGGTGCAGGTGAGAGTTAAGAATAAGATACTGTCAGTTGAATTACTACTGTAAACTTTAAGGTGAGATTTGATACTGTAGGTCATGAAATATTCATGGTGGTGTTTTATTCCTGTTTTTGTACCAAGTAAGTGTATAACAATGTAGCTCACTGTGGATATGTGTTGTTTATTGTATTATTACTCAATGCATTGTAATGTTGATGACCCACTAGACTTAATGTCTGTTTACTATAGTATGTTGTGTTTCGGCAGCTGGTAACACAGAGAGGACCAGACCAGACTATGACCAGTCATCACAACATTCAAGACCTGCCAGGCTGGCTATCAGGCAAACTGGTAAGTCATTAATATATAAAGATTAAATTATATAGAGATTTAAAATCAGGTAATGCTATAAAATGAGGCGAAAAGACTCTTGCATTCCAACTAATCGCTACTGTTACAAGATCTATAGCTACATGTAGAATAAAAGGTTTACTGCAGCTGATTTTCCACTAACTTAACTTATTGTGTTTAGCATGTCCTGTGTGTACAGTATTAAATGATGCGTAAATAATTTCATCAGGTTGGAAGATACTTAGAGTATAGAATTTTCTTCTTACACGACCATAGGGTTTCTCACCTGCTTACGTTTCGATGTCTATCAGACACCTTCCTCAGAGCTTCTGACTGGAGTTCCGCAAAAGCACACATACAGACCAGTATCTAAATTTTCAGTCCCACCATCCACTGCACCAGAAACTTGGAGTCATCCGCACCCTTATGGACAGATGTAACTCTGTGGTGACTGAAGAGGAGGACAAGGAAAGAGAAACACAACACATCAGAAGAGCCCTCATCCGATGTGGTTACCCACAATGGACCTTTCGGAAAGTTGAACAGAAAGAGAAGAGGCCAAAGCAGACAGAGAAGAACAAGAAGGAAGGGGAGAAAACCAGGACCATGGTGGTTATCCCATATGTGAAAGGTGTAACCGAACCATTAGAAAGGGTCTTCAGAAAACACCGGATAACCACAGCAGTTAAATCTAAAACAACACTGAGGAACTTGCTTGTCCACCCCAAGGACAAGTTGGGGGACCATGTGAAAACGGATTGTGTTTACAAAATTCCTGGCAAAAGCTGCGATGAAGTGTACATTGGAGAGACTGGAAGGACCTTTGGTAAAAGACTGGAAGAACACAGAAAAGAGGCAGACAACAGCGAAGCCATAAGATATACACGGTCCCAGAAACAACAAGCACAAAAAGAAGAGAAGAAATCAGCAGTTACAGACCATGTTGCCAGAAACAATTGTGTGATAGACTGGGAGGGAGCCAGGGTCATAGATAGGGAGGACAACAGAAGAATCTGGATAAGGAAGTCAACCCCAGTGATGAACCGGGACGAGGGGGGATACAAGCTCAGCCACGTTTGGGATTGCATTCTCGCCGCAAAAGCGCCACCTACATTGGCGTTAAATAGCGGCGAGTTGCAGAACTCCAGTCAGAAGCTCTGAGGAAAGGTGTCTGATAGACATCGAAACGTAAGCAGGTGAGAAACCCTATGGTTGTGTAAGAAGACAAGTATTAAAGATGATTTGCCAGAAGGTTAGAATTTGACTTTGTTAAGTACAAAACCTCTTTCCTATATTGTTTCATTGATTTAGAATATTGCTTATCGTAACTTGTACTACCAGTAGTCATGGCATCATGGATTCATCAAAAGTTCAATCCTGTCTGCTTCCAGACCTTCCCGTGCATCTAAACTTGGCTGCAGTGCAGCCACCAACTGCAAGGGGGCAGGCAGGGGACATTGATGTTATGCTGTCAAAACGGCTTCTAAAACTAGAGAAAAAACTTTTCACAACAAAGGTGCTCAGAGACCGCAGGCGCTACAAGAAAACAGTAAAGCTTTTCCTGTCACACAAGGCTTTTTTGTTGAAAGAAGCTGTGAAGGGATCGATCCTCCTCCTCCTGACGTTCCTGCGCCAGACTGATGTGGACAGGTTCTACCACAACCACTACAGGGTGGGGGAGGGAACCCTGTCTCAACAACTCTCACACATCCTCATCTCAGACGACCTACAGGACAAGGTCAAGGGCGCCCAGCTGATCGTGAGGCTCCACGTGAAGCATGAAGACTATGTGCAAGTAAGAGACAGACTGGGGCAAGGTGAGAACCACAACTTATAGTATTACTGATGGCTTGCTGTTTAGCAGATAGATGACTTTCATTTCAATAAATGCCAACATAATTTCTGGCAAATTGAATATACAGTATTATCATATAGCCGGGTGACGTTGACCTATCAGAAGGCTCCATTCCATATTCCTTATGACGCCGTAATGTCAGAAGTAGAGTCAAAACCTGGTCTTTATTCATCCCAATCCATACATTAAACATCTAATAATCACCCGCATATGACCTCAGGTGACCCAAAAAGAACACCGCTCTGTTCTAAAAAAAATCCTAAAATACTAAAAGTAACTTGAGTTGTGTTCCAATGACCTCGGGTGACACCTGTTCCCTTCCTTTGACCCAAATAGACAACGACCCTTCCCCAGTTACCTCAGGTGACTCCAGATGTTCTATGTTCTATTCAGCATTGTGCAACAGGTAAATTGCACATTGTGTCACTTAACTGTGTCAGTTTGGATAGGCTATCGTATAAGCTATATGATAATAGCATTAATGGCCCGCCCTTTCTCACTCACTTGGTGGCTTTATTCGGTGGTTATAGCAACTGACAAGGCTTTATCACACCATATTCCCCTCGGGCGGGTCATTAACCCTTAATTCAGTAACATTTCAATATGGTCTCAAACATCTGACATTAATACTGACTGCATCATTCCTAATAAACAGGACTGGACCGTACCACTTCTGCCTACAACCTGCTTGCCCTGCCACCCCCCAGCAGACATGTGGACCATTCCAGTCTGAGAGGCCTGGACCTGGCTGTGATTGGTCGAGAGGACAAGCCCTGTGACAGGACCGATGACATCACCATGCCGTACAGACAAGTACAGTCAGCCGTACGAACAGCGAGAGAGAAATCCAAACAAGAGGTGAAAGTTCAGATTGAGACAATGCAGAGGCAGGTGCAAACAGGTAGGATTGGAGTAGATGCTATGATGAGGGAGGTAAAGATGCTGAGAGAGAAAAATGAGAAAGCAGAGAAAATCCTCCTGGAACAGAAGGTAGAAATGAATGAGGAAATCCAGAAACTTCAGGAGACCAACAAGAGCCTGGAAGCCAGAATAGAAGAGCTGTTGACTGCCAAGCAACCATTGGAGGGTGGAAGTCAGCAAAAAGATCCTGGACCAGTTACTGTACAACACGTGTCAGACCAACAATCAACAGATAAGCCCACAGCACCTGTACAAGTCAAACAGTCAGTGGTTTGGCCTAAAATGAAAGATACAGAAGCAAGTGTCAAGAGTAGTGTCAAGTCTAGAACAGCAAAGCTGCTGACTGCCAAGCAACCAGTGGAGGGTGGAAGTCGTCAAAAAGGTCCAGTACAAACCATGTCAGACAAACATTCCATGGATAAGCCTACAGCATTTAATACAGGACAAGTCAAACAGTCCGTGGTATACGTACAGCCTAAAAGGAAAGATACAAAATTCAGACCAATCAGGGTGGGACAACCATGCATATGGGTGAGGAAAGTCAGGTTTGGGGGATATGGATCAGGTAGGGGGAAATTTAACCGTCCTTTGGGAGTAGCTGTTTCACAAGACAATGTGGTTTACATTGCTGATCATATCAACAGCAGAATCCAGGTGTTCACAATGGATGGTGTTTATATCAGTGAGTTCACAACAACTCCATGGGAACTTGTTGAAAAGTTACAACCACATGATGTTGCTGTAGATAGAAATGACAACCTGTGGGTGGTGGGTGATGAACATGTAGTGCAGTATTCCAGCAAAGGCAACCGTTTGGCCACAATACATCTTCCATATGTGTCACACCTCCGTGGTATAACTGTATCTATGGCAACAGAACAGGTGATTGTTACAGAGTATGATGGGCAGAATGGTCGACTTCGAGTGTTTAACCAAGATGGTTCTGAGACATATGGGGCAGGTCATAGGTCACCAAAGCCTTGGAGGCCACGATATGTGACTGTGGATGGGGAGGGGAACATTCTGGTCACTGATAGCAACAATCACTGTGTCCATGTCTTGGACAGAGAGGGGGAACTTCAAGTTCAAGTTTGGGAGTGAGGGATCTGATAATAGTCATCTGAATGATGTTTGGGGCATTTGTGTTGATGGGAAGGGAAACATCATTGTGGCTGACAGAGGAAATGGTTGTGTGAAAATGTTAGACAGTCAGGGCAGATTTCTGTGTTACATTGGAAGTGATATGAAGGTTCCCCAGGCTGTTACTGTGTCACCAGGTGGAGATGTGGTGGTGACTGATGTTGACAATTATACTGTATCAGTCTGGACACAGGATAGGGGAAAATCACAATGCAACATGAGTTACCAATACAAAGGCCCCGTTCATGATTGGATAGAATTGTAATCATGAACGCGCGGATGCGAATCGTTCCGGTTCGACGCTGTACTCCCGGGTACGTGGGGGCCGCAGTCGGCCATAGTTTGCGGCGCAGTGGCTTGTACTGCGGAAAATTCTACTTGAATCGTACAATCTTGACATCGAGTTCTAATTACTGGTCGACTGAGGAAACGGGACTTCCGATATTGACTTGGGGAAATCAGGAGATCCAGAGGAAACTGGATGGTGTGTACTAGAACCTACCCTGGGTGTGAGGGTGAGTGGTAGCCCAACGGGGGCTTTGGGGCGGCGGACCGTGGGGTTTGCGCCAGATGCGTCCGGGGCACAGCCTATGCCATGGGGAGGACATGAGTTGGGAACGAGCGACCACTCGCCCGAACAGGCGTAAAGTCTCCGCCTTACGAGCCGGGTTCCCAGGAAATATTCAAAGAAATTGTGATATACATATGAAATGCAAGTCAATTCGAGGTGTGAAACCGTTTACAGTGTGAGTGCAAGTTTTGAATCACGGACGCAAAAATATATTCCGGTTCGATTCGGATCGTGGCCAAACCGGAACACATTTCAATCATGAACGAGGCCAAAGTCAATTGTAACAGTTCATATCATGCTTTAGTAGCATTGAGCAAAAATGATACATGACATAATGTACATTGCAGTCTGTGGTTATATAATAATCATCACTTATACATACTTGTCTATGCTGTATAGTATAGCATAATGAATTGACACATTGAACTGTTTGTAATGGATGTACAATGTATGTTCATTATTTGTCTGATGTATTTCCTATCAATTAGTGCAATCAACTTAATACATACTTCATGTAGTAGTTAGTATATAGTATCAGTATCTTAAGAACTAGTAAGTAATGTGGGATGTTCATGTTGAATAAAAAGGACTTAACAGCTGAAATATGCACCATTTATAACACATGTATTAAAACTTGTACTCATTGTGCCTGTTTTAACCATTAAATCCTTCACAAATCACTCAGTAGGGCCCGAAATACCAGCTGTATTCATGCAGATTTTTTAAAGTTCAGATAAAACTTGAGCAAGCTTCACATATTTCAGATGTCCACCTGCACATGTACAGTCCATGCACAGTTTGTGTGAGGCTTGTTTGTTGTACAGGTTGTTATTATCCAAAGGTTGAATGAAATAAAGGTTTTGAAATGAAATTTTAGCAAGCGTTTCTCACTATGACCGACTTTTCACACATTTAACTTGTCCAGGTATACAATCACTAGTGAGCATGCACTCCCAAAACGTCTCAAACAAGGACTGTCTAGTGTTTTAACCATTTACCTCCTCCACAAATCATTCATTAGGCCTAAAAATACCACCTGTAATATTCAGTACACATACAACCAATTTACAACACATGTAGGCCTTTTGTCTAACACCATTGAGGCAAAAGATCTCTGATTAAACATCAATCTGACAACCATTGGGGCAAAAGAACTCTGTCTAAACACAAATTTCACAACCACAGTTAGACCACAGTATTGGCAGAGCCAGTCACCTGTGAACTTTGACCCTGCATGACCTTGAGGGGAGTGTTCCGGTGTCAAGCCAAATACATGATCCTGCCAAATACATGACTCCGACACTACATGGGGGTTTCCAATATACCTGAGACAAGGGGTGGGAGGGGTTAAGTCGTGATTTGGGAGACTAAACCTAACATGTACTCCCGACATGAAGAAGAAACCTAACCTACATGTAAACCCCAATCGTAAGTCTAACACTAACCCTAACCCTAACCCTTACCCTTACCCTTACCCTTACCCATACCCTAACCGTAGCCTTAAACACCTGACCTCTCACGTATGTGGCAGCTCAAGGATTTGGCACAACACCGGCTTACAGGTGCATTCCTACAGGTGTCACAGATCCTGCACAGGTATTCAGTAACAGGGCCTACGATTGGTGCAGAGTATTTGTTTAAAGATCACTGTTTTACAAAACAAAAGACTATTGATTGATTCTTTGATACATTTGGTGAATATGAAAAGTTGCCAAGTTAACTTTTCAAGCATAAAAAGGTAGTATCCTGAAAATACTGAAGGCAGAATAACCAACAAGAGTCATTCTGTAAACACTAGTCTGCACTCCTAAGATTGTCTAGTGTTTAAACCATTTACTTCCTCCACAAATCATTCATCAGAGTTTAACAGCGAGTATGCTGTTATAAGAGCTCAAACAACTATTTATGAATAAAGTGACCAATGAGAAAGGCTGTAACAAGTTCAAATATTGACAGAGTTACACTGAAGGAGCTTTGTAGGGGAGTGGCTGGCTATTCTTTTTTAATTAGGCATTTCCCAGGGTCTGAAAATGGCGTCTCCAGATCGTCCTTCTACTGCGTAACAATGAGAAAGGCTGTAACAAGTGTCACTGTTCAAATACACTTCCTGAAGCCAGAGACGCCCCCATTATTCGAGGTTACGTGAAGGAAATAGTTCTTTGTCTTGAGGAAAGGTAAGTTACGAAGTTATTTTACCAGCTGATGTTAGGATGTCTGAAAACTGAAACACTGAGTCAGACTTTCAGCACTTTGTGCTGATATCTTCAGCACAAAATTGTCAAGCATTACTTTGGTTTTGTAACTTAAAGTCAGCATTATAATACTAGTTTTACTTTCTATTACTATGTGTCCTTGTATGTTTGAT